GGGGACAAAACAGGACCTCTGTGGAGCGATCTACAGATTTTAAGTCAAGGGTTTGAAAAAAAAGAAAAATTGGGCCAGTTCCCAGAACTGTTGGGCGCTGGGGGTGAATACTTTAATCTTTATTGACTTAGTTATGGTTGATCTTGGAAGAATGCAGTATAAGTCCCAGTTTTCTTTGGTATGGTTTTTTGAATGATTATGGCTACATTACGCTTTACATGAGCTACTCTTTGTAGGCTGAAGTGGCTGATATACAGGAGGCCAAACAAGATGTTTTTCATTTCAAAATATGGCATTGTCTCTAGAGTAGGGCTTTCATGATACTAGAATTTCAAAGGTGATACCAATCTCCAGGAAATCCTCAATACTTAATGCTATGTTCAATATCACAGGAGGAAAAATGAGTAAATTAGGATGTGCATATTTAAAAAAAGAAAAAGAAAAAAAAGAACAGAATAACACTGCTATGTGCAAATGTATACCACTACAGCCCTATTTACTTTCTATGCTTCCAGCAAATTCGGACCATATTGCATTGCTTAGCAAATGGAGTTGAAAGGGTAGGTTTCTTTCTCAGATTCAGTCTGGGAGTTCAAGAGGAACACAACACCACTGTTGGCACAGAGTATTTGAACTTGACAGGCAAACAACTTTGATGGGTTGGGCATTTGGGTCAAGTCACTTTACTATTCTGCAAAAAATAAAATAAAAAATACAAACAAAAGTAAAAAAAGAGTGCATCCATGCTGTCATTTGCAATTTTTAAGAAAGTCCATGCTTTAAAGCTACACCACATGGATTAGAGTATCTTCACATTACACCTACTGGAGTGGCTTCACCATGAAGCTCCCAGCACACAGTTTTTGAGCTGATGTTAATGCCAGAGGACGTTTGAGCCATAGAAGTTACCGAGTTAGAAGAGGGCTGGCGACTTTTAATCAACGTGCACCTCAGCAGTCTCTGCTGCTCTGTCACTTTGCTTGATCAACCACTTCTTAGCTGAGTTGTTATTGTTCCTAAATGCTTCCTCTCTGCCACAAAGAATTGATTGTGGAATATCTCAATAATTATTTCTTGCTTGGGCTACAGTAACTAATTAGCATTGGGGGTTTTTTTTAAAATCTTTTCTCCTAACTTAATGTAACATAAGTTAGTTGTGTTTTTATGATGTGCCTGAACCCCCAAGACTTGTCCATAATGCTGGTGCTTAATAAAAATTTTTTAGACATAAATAATTATGTTATCCTGTTAAATTAATAGCTCCTACAGTTTTATTATTGTTATCTAGCTGCTTTGTTTATGATATCTTAACAGACAGCTAATGTGGCCAAAACTGCCATAAGGTAATTGCTAAGAGTTTAACGGCTATTTTTAATGTGCACTGGCCAGGTTAATGTTTATGATAAATGCTTAATGCTCAATGTTGAAAAAGAAGCCTTATTGGCCTCTTGAAATTCTTCATAAAACCCAGGGGTTCTTTAAGATTCTTGGCTAGTGTTGTTGCACTACTGTTCCTGTGTTTGGCTGCTAGTGGGGGGAGGGGCTTTGCACTTGCCTATCTGAAGTAGTACTGTGTGAAGTAGAGCTGTGCAATGCTACAAACTGCAAACCTATACCAGTAATGATACTTTTAAAGTATAAAGGCAGTGTATATATGAAATAGCAGTGTGTCATTATTTATGATGTAAATCATCATCAGTTTTAAGACCATTAAAGACCACTAAAAACATTTCAAAATAATTTGATTTTCAACCAAAGGAGGTGAACACAGCACAACTGGTATTGATACTGTTGCAAATGAGTGTCTAATCTGATGGTCTGTATGAGTATCTTTTCTTTTTCTGGCAACCCTACTGTCTAGAGAGCATTTCCAGAAGGTTGCCAGTTTTTGGTTGGCCTGTAGTTCTGACCAAAAATGGGTCTCAAGAACTTCAGTTAGTCCCATAGTCCATGGTTTAGATTTTTATGCAAGATTTTCCATTGGTTTTCTTTTTGGTTGGCTAGTGAGGCTTGTTTTAGAGAAACCTTTGGGTATGTTATTTCAGTTTAGTGCTCATGTATTAACTCCAGTTTGTTTTGGTTGCTGGAATTTTGGCAAAACAGACTGTGGTTTGTTTTCCAACTGCAGGCAGTGTGGTTTTTGAGTTGTAATGAAGAAACAACTTTTTGATTTGTTGTAGTGGTGGGCGGATGTCAGAGATTGAACTCCTTTCCAGCCTATAAAAGCTGTACCATGTGTTCACTTGGCCTCCCTCTTCCACTCTTCCACCCACCAAATGTTTTTGTTAATTTATTTTCATAAAATTCTATTTAATCTATTTCAGTGACTTTCCTCTTGCGCTTATCTTGAATCACTTTGTGTTAAAGGGTACATTGCTTTTTGCAGCACCGGGAAACTTTTGTTGCTAAGCAAACTGGGACTAACCATGTAAACACCAAACACTGATTACGCACAATGCTAAAACCAAGACTTAAGGGAAGTCTCACCTGTTGGAACGTGGACACTGGTTCTCTATAGTGTTGTCCTGTGGGTAGTAGTGTCCAGATACTGGGAGGTGGTAGCAGATGCTTGCAGATATGAGCTTAGTGCATCTGGCTTGTTCTGGTGCACATAGCAGTAGCTCAGATCTGGGGAGCTTGGCCATAGCGTCTAACCTCTTTGCCCAGCTCGTGAGAAGCATCTTTTTTTTCCAGTGTGGCTGCATTCTGCTAGGGAGGAGGCTGAAAAGGGCAGGTCTGGTCAGCAATAACATTTCATTAGCTGGGAAGGAGCAAGACATTGCACAACACTATCCATATTGTCAACATCAATAGTTTTTTTTTTATGAGAGTTGTTTGGTGTATGGTAAATATAAAATATGGAGGATCCTGCATGAAAAAATACAACAGTAGAATTACGAAGGTTATACCATATGTAATTTATTTAATTTTTTTCCTTTTCTTAAATGCACACCAGGATGAAACTTCAAGGGTAGGTTGGGTTATTGTCAATTCTAAAATTACATCAATAATTACTGCACCAGCTGCAGACATTTCTTAAATTTAAAAGGCTCGCTTTGAACTGATATTCCCTTTTGGAACACAAACTCCCACAGCTGAAAAGAAAAGATGATATCTTAAACAAATTCCAGTGTGTAAGGGTAATCACCCATCACTTAATTTAAGCTATAACAGGATTCTCTGACCTTTTGAAAATGCTTATTGGTTAATTGTACACAACTAGATGAAGGGAAGCAGCTATCCCAGCTCTGTTGGTTACAAATTCTGCACATAACCACCGGAGTCTAACATTTCATGGTTTTGCTTTTCTGCAGATAATAAGATGGCACTAAATACTAATGTCCCAACTAATGTGCTTTAAAAGTCGTGCGAGGGAGACTTGGTTAGTTCTTGAAAGAAAATGTGTCTTAAAAGAGCTTGAATTAGCTTAAAAGTACAGATGTATAAACTACTGTCTTTTAGTTGAATGTGTACATTTTAATTTGTGATAAACTGTTTTTCAAATGTTTATTGTATCACATTAGACAAAACTATTAATGTTACTAATACCAAAGACCTGTCTTCATTTTGAAAGTTAAAAAAAACATTGCGTAACAGTAAATGGCCATAGCATGGGATCTCTTTGAGCAACATTGCTGCCTGCATGTTAATTTTAAGTTTTTAGTTTTATACAGTTAACGGTTAGAAAAATATTTGGTAGGATTAACATAGATTGCATCTTACAAAACATTGGTTGTTTAAGTAGGTTTGCAGCTCAGATAGTTGTTGACTCACACTAAAAGATAAATTTTTGCAGTTTTTTGACTCTTGATCGAGTGCCAGTATCAACCCTCACCTCTCTGCACTCTATCAATAGATAAAATCCAAAGCAGACAATTCATGGATGTGAGGGACGAGGAATCATGACAACTCCACTGTCGCTCTGCTGTAGTATGAGAGGACTTCCTTAACCAGTTCAGAGAAAGTGGAACAAAAAGATCTGACCCAAGAACATGACAAATCTACATTTTTAGATTGTTATCTATGTTTTTTTTTAATCTGCGTGTCCTCTGTCTGCTAAGCAAGCAGAAATGCCTTCCTTTTTTATTCACTCGTTGAACGACCTTAAAGGTCGGCATTTTGTTTTGTTTTTTTCTCCAAAGGTTTTGTCATTCAGAGCGTTTTATAAATGAGATTTACTCTGGTAAAAACAGCTGAAGCAGAGTAACTTGTTTTGCTGCAGAAAAAGGCAACTCCCAAAGACAGGGATCGTACACTGCTGAAAAACTTGAAAAAGCATGATTTGAGTTTGAAAACTAACTGACATGACGCCAGCCGGGTTTCACTCCTATTGTAGCTTTTAGTTGCGTAAATGAAAGTCCCACTTTGCCGACATAACTGGAATGAAACAGAGCAAGGTTTCACATTACACTTTCTAGCGCATACTCTATGGCTGACGTTTAATTGTATACCCAATAGTCACCTAGAAATAGGCATCCTTATATTATTAAGCGACAATGACAAATATTTCTGTGAAGAATGCGGTGTGGTTGATTAAATCTGCTACAGCAATCTGTTTCCAAGTTCAGCCTTGACTTCCACATGGTCATATAATGCATTAGCCAGACCTAGAAGGAAAAAATGCAGCAAATTTAGACTCAACTTGAAACTTCAATTTTATTATTTCGTCAGAACAATATATATATAATTTGGTTGTGGCTGTATGACAAATACAAGAAGCAAGTCACACAGAAAGAAACACTGTATTTGTTGGTGAATGCATTTCAGAAGGGGTTTAGTGCAACTGATTCCCAAATATATAATAGAAATGCATGCATGCATGCAAGAAATGTGAGGATTACATTCCTTACAATTTCTTTAATACGACTTATTCAGGTCATGTGTTCACGTAAAAAACAAGCAACAAGCAAGGGAAGACCCGGACTAAAATTAAAAACATCGGGAGATAGCAACGAAAACAACAAGAAAACAGAAGAATGTGGTGAATATTTAAATTCCTGTCAGACTGCTGTGGCAAACCCTATCCGATTATTGCGGCGATCAAACTCTGTGTAGTAGCGTGCAATGAAGTTGGCTCCCAAAATCCATATGGGACCTGTAGGAGGCGGCACATCCAAGCCCCTGAAGGTAACGGTGCAGACTTCCCCTTCGATCTGTGATTGCTGGAGCCACAAAGAACAGATGTATTATAACACAATAACACACCAAACAAAGTGCTAGAAGTAAATGTCTACTATTAAAATTGTACTCAAAAGTATTATCTGCATAAAGGGATTACTGCTGTGGTCCCTAATTTTCATATTTTATAAGCTTAATATTACAATTCACAACAGCAGAATTAAAATACACGTAGTGCTGCAAAAATTTATTTTAAAAAATAGAAATACGTCACTAAAGTGCAAGTACCACAACATTGTACTTGGCTGTAGTACTTGGGTAAATGAACTGATTTACGTTTGAACAATGCATGCCTATGTTAATACAGTTCAGCATCCATCAACACTCTCACCCATAATATATAATCCTCCTGTGTGAGCGAGTATTCCTGGCCACCGAGGAGGAACTTGACACTGGGTAGCGTCTTCACAGTGTCACAGTTGACTTTGTACTGACGAACAACAGAGTAATCGTTGGTGACAACTCATGAATTTCTGCAAATGTGCTTTTTTTGTGGGAAACTGTGTTGCGTGTGTAAAAGCTTACTCCACTTTCATCCAGCTGTGCTCCGATGGTTTTCATCAGCACGGACACAGAGGAGGCCGGGCCTGTGATGTAGGAGGAGCCCGTGTCGATCACAGCTGTGCAGCCCTCTGCGCAAAACATCATCTCCCTCCCCACAGAAACACTGAAAGAATGAAAGAGGAGGTAGAAATGAAAACACATGTACTTTCTGAATGGCTGCACCTTTGTACTCATGAAAACACATTACATGATAGCAAATAAAGATCATACCCTTTCATGGTAAGTTCCCATTTGCCTGTCTGTCTGGTGTTAATATAATTAAAACTTCCAGTGTAGTAATTTGGATCTGTTCCACCGAGGACAAGCTCTCCGCCTGGGGAGCGTTTTGGGTCCCTGAAAATGATAAACAAAATACCCTTAAAGTTGTGCATTTTCTCTTTGACAGTAGAAATTGTAACTTTGCTGGTTCACACAGGTTGCTGAGCTATATCACATATTAAAAATACAGTACTGTGCAAAAGACTTGAGCCACCCCACATTTCTTTATATTTTGTTTCCAAGGAGTCAGACTTTCTTGTAGCTTTTGAAATTGGTATTGAGAAATATTGTTCCAGGATTTCTGAAGATCTTTCAAAAGTTTTCTTTGGACATGTGCTTCTTTCTCACTCACTTTCAGTCCAGTGCTTCAGTCCAGGTGAATGTTTTTTTGTTTTGCTTTTTTATTTGTTTGTTTTTTAAGCCATTTAACACTGACCTATAAATCATTCAAGCACACAAATGGCATCTAACTCAAGGGATGAATACACATAACCGACAACTCAGAAGAAAGAACACACCCAAATCACAATCAAATCTTTAGGCATGTTATTAAGCGTCTTGCAAAAGCACAGTTTGTTCCCATTTCATTATCTGTGAAAAATGTCAGAGACAGAATGGTCTGACAGACATAAAGTAGTTTTTTTTTTTCAGCAACAAAGAGCTAGTAGCCAAAAACTTGGAATATCTCAGCGTATTGTGTTGTGTGTCCATAAAAAATGTGAGAAAACTGAACAAGTAGAGGACAGAAGAAAAAGTGTCACACCTAAAAAACAAAACAAAACCATAAACAAAAACAAGCATAAAGAAGAAAACATCTATAGCAGATAAGCAGGATCTGAAAGTCATGTCGTTAAGAAAAAATACACCAAGGACCTGTCCCTGATCTGACAGATGGATCTGAACCTTCATCTGATCCATCTAACGTTCCCGGAAACCTCATCAGAAATTGTGTCGTTGCACAGCTGTCAAGAAGGGGAACACAGAGAAAAGACTGAGGTATGCTGCACTAACATCTGGAAATTAATTAGCAATGTCTTTATTTTTCAGCATCACACTGATCCCAAGCACACTGCTATTGCAGAAAAATCACATTTTGACCAAAAATGGAGCCAAGGTAGCCAACATCCAAAGAAGAGTGTAACAAACCACGGCAGACCTGATGACATTTCCATGCTTCTCAGCATACTTTACTTTATTACTTATTACACGGTTGCTGTTCTAACACTTCCTGGCTGCAGCTTCCCAGCTGCCAGCCACATGTACATAACAACAATAACTACCTGGCGAGGTGTGATTGTAGATGCCGTGCAGGTGAGATGAACTCACCTGCACAGCATCACAGGCCATGCCCCATTACAAAGAGCGTTAAATATCCTTCAAGAAGCCGGAAGAACTATTTCTGAAGACTACTTAGAAAAATCCTGCCTAAGAGAGTTTAGGCTGTTTTAACGAAGACAGGTGATACCAGTATTAACTTTCAAACTCACTGGTTTTCACATGTCTTACATTACAATCAAACGCTGCAAATATTTACCACTTTCCTGGCAAAATGTAGAGTGATGAGGCGTGGCTCAAGATTTTTGCAAACTTCTGTAAATAATAACAAAAAATCCCATTCCCTCTGAAAGTAAATAATGATCGTTTACAACTTAATCATGAAGGCACCTCAATTTTTAATATGTTTATTTGAGTTATACCTACTTCTTAAATCTTACATAAAAATGCAAGAGGCAAATTTCATGAGTAAAACATGGGTTGAAGCATGTTTCATGAGACATCCAACACATATAAAACACAAAACATTTATTATATCTTTTCACTATTTCATTTCATATGGGACGTTCTTTTAGCTTAAATTGATTCTTTCGTATGGCGCTTCCCACAGTAAAAGAAAACATCATAATATTTTTTCAACTGATTTATTCTGGATATAACCAAGTATAATAAATGACAAAGAACTATGAGTAAATACACATAAATTTTTTTCTCTATTTTCTCACAACACCCTTGTGTCTCACACAGATCCAAATCCATTTCGTATGATCTTCTTCAAGTTTGGGTTTTTCTTCTAATTCTAACTTTTTCAGCTCAACAAGCAGAAATTGAAAAAACGTGATCCTAAAATCTAACAGATGTCCTGACGAGACATTATTTATATTATAGTGTTTTTCTCTCTGATTGATCAATTCAACACTTGGCAGCAAGTTCATTTTTTCACTGCAGCATAAATATCATTGACAGCTTGATACATTTTCTTCAGCATCTAAATTATTGTCATTATTATTTTTTCCTCGTGCAAAAGCCTTTCATATAAAATGTCAGTTCAGTTGATTTACTTATACCCACCTGCTGTAGTAGATGGAGAAAACTTCTTCTTTGAGGACGTGTTGAGACATGATATGATCGAACACTGGGGTTATGCCATCAATGGCCGCGTTGGGGTATCCCATCCCCAGCACTCCATCAAACTTGGCAAAGATGAAGGGCATGGCAGACAGAGCCGTGGCTTCAGCAAACACTTGCACTACTGGGATGCCACCAACCTGCAGCAATAAAACACTGCTAATCAAAAGTTTAAAGTGTAGTGTGCAAGAGGAAGTTTAAAAAAGAAACAAAACCCATTTAATTTGTAGGTTTCAGACTTGAAACTCACCACAACCACATCCTCGCTCAGGAATCCCCTGACATTTCCAGAGGCATACTGGATGGAAAATCCTGTTCCATTCTCAATGTAAGTCCGGGATTTGGAAGCATCATACCTGTTGTGAGTAACTGAAAGTATTTAAGCATTTAAGTCCAACAGCGAATGTTTACCTGGGAAGTTTTAATGAACAATGTTCCCTAAAATATTGCATCTATTTTTTTTTTTTTATTTGGCCAGTGAGCATAAACTAATGTTGGCATATTGTCAGTTCATTAAGTTCACTAAGTTCAGAAAAAAATGTTTGAATATGTACACTTACAACAGGCAGTGGAGAACGGTGAGCAGCTTTGCGAAGGCACCCACAGGTTGGCTGAGCCTGTGTCAAACACCACATTGAACATCTGGGCCGGAGAGCCAATACTGATTTCTCCAAAGTACTGCGTCTATTGGAAGTGGAAAAATGTCCCACGTCATTGTTGTTTGAATAGTTTTTCATTCCAGTGTTTTATAATTATTAAAAAAGCAAAAAGAAAACACAAAAAAAAAACCCCAAAAAAAAGGAAAAAAGAAAAAGAAAAAAAAGAATAGTTTTTCAAAGGTTTTCCCACATGTTAAATGTCACTTTTAAGGCCAATGACAGAGAAACGTGGAAAGTCTGACTCATAAAAAGAGAATATTTCAAGAGGCTAATTCAAAAGCAAGTTCATCTGCTGTTGTCGTGAAGACATCTCAATGCTCATCCAAGAGCAGAGATGAAACCTTTAATCATAGAGGTTAAAGTCTGTATCTATCTTCAGAACTGAAATAGAAAACGCAGGTGGTTTCAGTGCTACATTTTCTATCACATGTATCATCTGTAGCTCTAATCAATGGATCACATTAAGGTTTCTCACATCCAAATAGTTGGTTAGCGGCGTGGGAACAGTTCCGTTGTTGGTGTCAGCTATGCTCTTCTGGGCCAGCTCAGTCATCACCTGCTCTACAGAAACTCCCAGCTCCTGCAGAGTCTCTCTGATAGATGGCATCTTTTTCAGGGCAATTCTGGAACCAGAGCGGGAAAGAGGAAACATTCTGAATGAATGCAGAGAGCAAACTTGATAGCTAAGGTCATGTTAAAGAGGTACATGGAGTTTATTTTCTGTGCTATGTATCTATTACATATGTCTGGGGATAATCTCAGTATGAACCTTTAACAAAGTACAGACCGCTTTGCTCTCAGCACCCAGCCAATCAGATGAACAAAAACACATGTGAACCCAAATGCTGAAATCATTAGCTTTTGTAATGAATCAATAAAACACATTTGTTTTCATGTCCTTATATAATTTATGGTTTACTGTCATTACGTTTCTCCAGAATGTTATCTATAATGCTAGTGCAGAAATCCAGCGAGTTAGATCCTTTAAGTAAATCAGGTAGGCATGTAAATGATTCTTCTTTTTTTTTTTACCTTCTCAAAGCATGGCTCGTGGTCACTGTCAGTGATAGAGCAACCAAATATATCCACTGATTCATCAGTAGTGCCATGGCGACTTCTCGGACTTCACTGATGTCGGTTCTGTATATAAAAGTTGGTTTTCCTGGCTCTTCTTCTCTCTCGCTCTCTCCGATGTCGTGCACCTCAACTCTTTTTATACCATGCCCTCTTTTAAGTGCTCTCACCCATGGGCCTGGCTCTGGTTGGGAGCTTTCCTGGAGGTGACCAGTGGAAAACAAGCCCTTCTTCCCTCCCCCCACCTTGCACTCTACCCCTCTGTCTTGATCACACAACCTCTTCTGTGATAAACAGGTCCCAGTGAAAGATGTGAACTCTGACCCCTTAAGAAACACTGATGACAGAAAGCAGGGGTGAAGAGGTCTGCATATTAGTGACGTAGGTAACCTGGAGACCCTGTGTGAAGGGCTGTGAGAAAATTCGAAGCAACCAAATGATGCTTTGAGTTGTCAGGACAGATTAGCTTGTTTACTAAAGTCACGTTAAATCCAGATCTCGCTGTGCACTTTTACATTATTTCTCTAACCTGCTGATGATTTCATTTAATTAGATCAGGGGTGTAAAATTTGTTTTAGATCATGGGTAGCCGGCCCAGTGTGATCTAAAGCAGGCCAGACCATAAAATCTAATCAGTAATAACCCTCATAAACACCTACAAATGGTTCCCTTTCGCTTTGGATTAAAGAAGTGCATTTTTGAAAAATGTTCACATTTATTGAACCAACCATTTACATAGGTCATAGGTGATGTCTTTGTCAAAACACATGACAGTCAAGACAAAATTGAGAAATTGAGCACCTGTGTAACTCAGTGAGTGAGCAGGTACTGATATGCCACGTGGCCCAAAAGTAGTGGCCTGGGTTCGAGTCTGACCCGTGGCTTTTTGCTGCATGTCTTCCTCTCTCTGCTTTTCTGTTTGTCTCTACTGTCACTATCTAATAAAGGCAAATGCTAAAAAAATAATATTAAATAATATTAATATTAATTTTCTGGCAGGTGATGAATGACCCTTTGGGAAGCCAGCTGTGTCAACATTAGATGGGGTTTTGTTCTTGAAAATAACAAAAACAATGATAAGAATAATGATAAAAGAAACAAGATGCTTGTCTGCATTTAACACACCTTTGAATTTCTTCTATGTGAAACAGTCAGTTAGTCTTTCTGAAAGACACACACACTGTTTAAACCTCTGAATACAATATCAGTGCTGCAGATTATATTATTAATGCAATGGTAATGATGATGATTATTTACCAATAGCAGTAAAATAATTTCCCTGCTCCACAAGTGCTTCCCATGGTATCTTGCCTGTCACAGCTGTGTGGTGAGTTGGTACTGTGCTGACCACCAAGTCAAGCCAGGAGATATGTGGAGGTCCATGTCTGGCGCAAGCTCAGACAACCGTAACAGAGGCCAGAGGTCAGCAGCTGAGATACTCCCTGTTGACAGATCTTCCAGGGAATGATGCCATGTTCTCATACAGATTATAGAGGCAGAGATGATTTACAGCAGAGTTATATTGCACTATGTTCGCTTAATAAACACTGGAAGATTCTACCGCCACTATTACCAGCATACTTTCTAAATAAATGCTTTTTTTCATAGTGATGACAAGTGACAAAGGGATGATTTACAATAATAAAAACATAAAAAGACTTTTCAGCTGAATCTGCAGCTCTCCTCAGCTTTACGGGGCTTTATGGGGAGTTTAAGCCCATCGTTTATACATCCGGCCGAGCATTACTGCTTTGGTTCACTCTTACTGCAAATGCAGATACATTTAGACACCAGCAATTCCACACAAAGCAGCATTCAGCTGCTATAGAGATCAAAATCAGAGCAAATAGAAGCAAGAGAAAGGGGAGTGTGTCAGGCTTATATGCATCTTGTTGTGTTTACAACTGTTTCAAGTGGCCAATAAAATAAGTTATTGCAGGTTCAAAGCTTTAATGATTGATTTTTTTTGGCTTCTTGGCACATGTGCAAAAAGCCATAAACACATTATTATTGTCTAATAGAGCTGCTGTGGTGAAAGTATTACCAAACTATTATCCATTTACCAGTTTTACCAGAGGCTTGTTTTAAAAAAATAAAAATGAATAAAGAGGAGGATATGGACAAGTATTACCATCAGTTTTTACATTTTTAAGACACATATTACTTAGGAGGCCCATGCCTGTTTATTCTTTAATACCATTAGGCCTTACAAGCAGGTTTTGATAGTGCACTTTGGCAATCTCACAGACACCTGACTCTTGACCTGCTAGGTTAAATGGATACCCATAAGTTTCTTTCCCACACTGCCTAGGGAGACCCATGCGTCACTGCTGCATGGCCTCCCACCTCTTCACTTAGTCTACTCCACTGGTGCACATGGGAAATGTAAGATTATCTCCTGCATAACAATTTATATCAGTTTTATATTTGTTTTTTGTATGTCATTAATATTTCCTTGTAGGCCTTCACTTCAAGCCAAAATTTAGACTTTGGTCATGCAGAACTACTCAGAACCGTATAATAAAAGCTGTTGAAAAAGGTGCAACTGAGCAAACCTCAAATGTGTTCCTGCTGACAGATGCATATCAGAGGGAGAATTCGTGCGAGAAGCTATAGCAGGGTTGCGTAGGGACTGTGTTATCTCTCATAATAAGAATGATAAGAAGCAGAGCAGTGGTTGTTAGCAGGAAACGAGACTCAAGGAAGTTATCACTCAAACAAATAAGCCTGACTGCCAAAGCCACAAAAATGCAACATTCTGCCCATCTGGCATGCATATAAATGCGACATGTCAGTTTTTCTAATTAGTTAGTTCATATAATTAGCTACAAAAGAGCAGCGAACAACAATTTGGTTTCACAGATTTTATACCCAGTTATGTTTTCATCATTTGAAATCCATGAACTTCAAATTAGGAATGATGAGTCTGTGATTCCATCTGGAGACAATATGTACGAAAATATGTGGGGCAGTCTTCACATCAGGAGGTAAAAAATGTCGAAATTGAGATCAAAGGTGGCAGTAAAATCATGTTTTATGTACAACAGATTGATAGCCATCCTCAAAAGCTTGAGTGTATGATTACATTTGATCTTACACATTTTGTTTTTATTTTATATATTGATAGTTGGAGTTATCGTCCTGAATTGGTGCTTGAATTTTCACTAAGGAGCAGGGGGTTTTTTTTAGACCTTTTTGCTGCTTGATTTCCGACCAGCAGAGGGCAGCAATTGACTGAAAAATACACCAAGACAACTCTCAGGAGTTCTTCCTGTTCTTTGATCACATGCAACTCAGAAGAAAAACATTACTGATTAATCTCCGTGAGACTGTTTGTAGGATATGCACGTGTGTCTTCATCCTTACACTTCAAGATAAAGACTGTCCAGACTCATCTTTAAGCTGCACAAGCTACCTCCAAAAGAATTGACATGATGTCTGAAAATCCCTGTTCTTTATATTCAAGCTTTTCCATTCTAAAATATTTATAATACATTTATAATTTAAGCATAGAATGGTATAACTCAAGGGATGCACAGTGTTAACAGACGACTTATTAGAAAAAAAACAACTAGTATTACTAGCAGCCTGTCCCAAGAAACAAATTTTCCCATTTTGTTATTTAAATCTATGAGAAATGCCAAAGATAGCATAGTTTGACAGACGCAAAATAGTATTTTTGCTCCAACAAGGTACCAAAGCCAGTTGCCAGTTGACCAAAGCCTCATCATAAATGGCATCAGTGGAAGGGTACCTGTGAAGAAGCCATTCTTAAGACTGAAAATCAATGAAAATAGAAATTATAAGGGTATGTGTCATGTTTGTGGAGTGCAGAATGCTTGGACTTGAATGCAAGATACAGCAAAACAAGGTTAAAAAACAACAAGTGAGACATTTATTTGCCTGGAAAAGTAAAACAAATAAACAAACAAACAAACAAACAAAACACCCAAAAGACAAAAACAAAAACAAAACTGAGGTATAACATCCAAAGTACAAGGAGCCCAGGGAAAACACAGAGGAAAAGTACAACACAAAAAGGGAGAAGTAGAGGACAATATATACACAGGAAGACAGTGCCCACTAACAAGGGAAGCGGAAACAGCTGGAAACAGCTGGAAAAAGCTGGTGATGACAATCAAGACAGGAGGGAAGAAGCAAAACTAAACATGAGACTAGAGACAAATGACTATCAAAGTAAAGCAGGAAATGAAAATCATCACAACTGAAACCCAAAGAGAAGAACATAACAAACTTAACAATGTACATCAGTAAATGGGAAAAATAATCCCAAAAACTACTTAAATAAATTAAAAGAAGGCTTGTCTAAAAAGGTTATTTTCATGCTCACTGGGGTTAGATGACGAGATATGAAAAGATATTGCACCCCCCCC